GTTATTAAAATGCATTTCATTCTTAAAAATAAGTTATCAGCTGTTAAAGTGTATACACACTTTTCGGGAGACACCATATATTTATGTCTATAAGTATGTATTTTAAAACTCATAATAGCTAAATGCAAAAACTGAGACATTATTTTTAAATTGTTCCAGATCACATATGATCATAAATATGTGTGAATGTATGCATTTCATTAAGTTTTCCTATGGATCTCATATGTATGTATATCATCATTGCCCAATGAGATAGGTATTATTTTGTCCTTTTTAAAAAAATATTTTTATTGATTTCAGAGAGGAAGAAAGAGGAAGAGAGAGATAGAAACACCAATGGTGAGAGATAATCATTGATCTGCTGCCTCTTGCATGCCACACATTGGGGATCAAGCCTGCAACCTAGGCATGTGACCTGACCATGAATTGAACCGTGACCTCCTGGTTCATAGGCCGACACTCAATCACTGAGCCATGCCAGCCACACAATGTTATTATCATGTCCAATTTGCTGATGGGGAAATTGTGATACAGAGGGGTTCAGTCACAGAGTCAGGAAGTAAACTTATGATAAACCTGATTTTTCTTCAACTATGTTGAGTTGGATATACATCTCATTGTCATCAAAGGAATCCGCATAATACAGCCACCCGTTCCTTACTAAACCTGTGTTGGGTTCTTTTTTTTTAATATATATTTTTATTGTTTCCAGAGAGGAAGGGAGAGGAGGTTTTGAATGCAGAGCACTTGGCGTCTACAGAGTGAGTGGTCAATTAAAACAAACTATTGTCTACGACCGACCGGAGTGAGTCTCTCACCCCGTGCCTGGGCCTTCACTGCAGAGGGAGGTGCGTCAGAGGCCTCTCAGTCTGCAAGAGCCTGGGAGTGGCCTGCTCTTCCTGACGCCATTCCGAGGTCCTGCTTCGTGCACACCCAGACTCTGTCCGCCGGGGGCTACCTCTGCTCCCATGCTGGGCCTCCCAGTGTTTCGACCTTGCCTCCCCCAGGGGGGACTCTAGCAACTGATACCATGAAGCCATTCTGGTGGCATGAATGGAGCACGTCACGTGAGAAGAGGTGTAAATCCAGACAGGAGCCGCCATGCACTTTGAATCAACCCAGGCCCCTTTTCATGCAAATGAGGGGGGGAAAACACACAAAACAGGGAGTAAAAGAAGTGCAGAATGGAGCTCAAAGGCCACCCTGGCCCCAGTCTGGCTCCAGGAGAGCTTCTGATACCTGTGGTCGCTGTAGCTGGCGAACCATTTATTACAGCTCAGCGGGAGTGGGAACTGTACGGAGGGGCAACTTTCCCATTTTCTTTAAATGGTGTGTTCAGGGGATGTGAGTGATGTGTCTCCAGGAGTCAACAAATCAGAGGGAAACAAAAGTGTCGCAACCGGGCTTTTCTAAGCAGACTCCAGGCCAAGTTTGTCTTCCAGAACATGCTCTGCACGGGGAGGGAGTGGGGCTGTTGCCAGGTCGTAGCAGGGCTGCCTGGAGGTGGGCAAGCCTGGAGCTGGAGAGTTTTGCTGTAAAAGTCTCCCTTCAAAGCATCCGTGTCCTGCTCGAGGACTGACAGGGCATCGCCACTTAAAGAATGTGTTTCACAAATAGTTACCCTGTCCCAGGGAAACTGCTGGCCCCTGGAGGGGGTGCACCCCTGAGCTGGACACCATCTCCACCTTCCATGTGTCCACGTGTTTGTTTAGGAAGCATTTAGTTAGCACCTGCTATTTCCGGGCACTGAGTGCCCCTCCGAGCTGTGACAGTACCTGCAGTGACTGGGTGAACAGGGCCACCGGCACCTGGCGAGTTGACTGATAGCATGAAATGGACAAGAAGCATGGCTCTCGGTCCCACGATGAGACATCTTCCGGGAGAGGTAAAAGCCTCAGCCCGGGAAGCGCAGTGGGCACTTCACGAATGAAGCTCTTTGCATGGGAGCCGGGTCCGAGAGCGCAGGGAGGAGGAAGGGAATTGACGCCAGGCCCTTACATAAGGGGTGGGCAAAAGTAGGTTTACAGTTGTGAGTATGTGGAATTATTTTTTAAATATATTTTATTGATATTTTACAGAGAGGAAGGGAGAGGGATAAAGAGTTAGAAACACTGATGAGAGGGAAACATCGATCAGCTGCCTCCTGCACACTCCCTACTGAGGATGTGCCTACAACCAAGGTACATGCCCTTGACCGAAATCAAACCTGGGACCCTTGAGTCCGCAGGCCAACGCTCTATCCACTGAGCCAAACCAGTTAGGGCAAGTATGCGGAATTATTACTTATTAATCACTGTACTATTTATTTGTATGACAACTATAAACCTACATTTGCCCACCCCTGTATTTTATTTCATTGACTTCGCACAGCAGCCCTGTGAAGTGGATGATGTCATGGCCAGTTGCCGAATTAGGGACCTAAGGCACAGAGGGGGCATGGCTCACCCGAGGCCACGTTACTGTTAAGGGTCAGAGGCAGAATCCAAACTCCCATCAGACTCAAAACCCAGGCTTTTCCCATCCCACCCAGAACCCCGGCAAGGACTCACAGGGAAAGAATTGCGCCCTGGCACTGCCGCTGGGTAACTGGTCAGGCTGTGCCAGTGATGCGACCTCTCCCAGCCTCAGTCTGTCCATTACATGAACATTGCTCGTGCCTGCTTATTGCCAGGGTTTTGTGAGGAATGGATGAAAGAATGGATGCGGGAAATGCTTAAAATCCTAAGTCACTGTGAAGACGGGAGAAACTATAGCAATTAGAACACACCTGTCTTAGACCCAGTTCCACATGAGAGCTAACGATACAGCAAATAAGCCAGACTCTTGCCTGGTTTCATAACACAAAGCCTTTGTCGGATTTAGCCTGTGTTGCAGTTAAGCAGTTATTCTGCTTGATGTTTATCTACCACGTTGATCACAGTGAAGCATATATTACTGCAGAAGAGCTTTAGGCCCCCACTTTCGGGCTGTGTGTGTCTCATTTCCTCTCTTGATAATGAGTTGGTGCCTCCTCGCCCGGCTTCTCTCATACGTCCCCTATTTCAATAAATGCAGCACACTCCTCCAACCAAACTCCACACCCGCCATCACCATGGGATGCCGTCTTTCTCTCCTGCTGTCTCAGTTGGGTACCAAACCTACAGACATCATCCCACCTCGCTCTCCCCTGGGCCACTGCAGGCGCTTCCCCAAAGGGCCTCTCTGCCTTTACCCTTGACTCCCTCCCCACCATTCATTCTCCAACCCACAGCCATGAGGTCTTTTAAAATGCAAACCTGTTTGTCTCTCCTCTGCTTAGTACCACTTAGTGGGTTCCAGTGGTCGTTGGAATTGAATGCTATAGACCTTACACATGCCTGCAAGATCTGTCTCCACCTCCAACCCCTTGCTTGTCACCACACCCTCCATCACAAGACATTGCACTTGCTGCTTCCTTTTCCTGGAGCTCTCTGCTCCTTGCACTGTACCTGGCTGGCTCATTCCCAACTCATAGGTATCGGCTGTCATCAACCCTCATACTCTGTGATAAATGTGGAATATTTAATGTTTGTATCCCTTTTGGGATGTAAGCTCCACAGGGGTAGGACCTCTGTCCATGTGGCTCATCACTGCACACCCAACACCCAGCACAGTGCCTGGCAAACAGCAAGTAGTCCCTAGATATTTGTCATGTTCGTAAATGGGATAAGATGAACAATTCCTCAGGAAATTCAGCCCATGGCTTCCCTGCCATCCGCCCGCCCCTCTGAGTCTCAGTGGCCAGCCTAACAAGACTATCCCTCTTTGTGGCTTTGTCCCAGGAGCGGCTCGTGCTGTCCGTGCTGCCCCGCTTTGTCGTCCTGGAGATGATCAACGACATGACCAACGTGGAAGATGAGCACCTGCAGCACCAGTTCCATCGGATCTACATCCATCGCTACGAGAATGTCAGGTGAGAAAGGCGACGCCCCGCCTGTGCACCATGCGCTCCCTGCGCTGGGCTGCTCTCATCTCGCTGCCGTGACTTCCGTCTGCCTGGATGTCGTGCCATTTTTCATTGGTTGATTAATTCATTAACTAGTCATTACCCATCAGAGAGTTCTACATTTCCAGAGGCTCGAGAAGAATGTCAGGGAAATGCAGTCATATCTGCTTGCTGACGTGCTGCTTGGCTCCCCTGCAGCGGGCCTGCTGCCTTCACATTCGCAATGGGAAAGTCCAAGCCCTTCCACTGGGGTTGGCAAACTAACCCCAGAGACATCTGGGGACCTCAGGGTGATCAGCAGCTCTGCTCCTTATATTCCTCACAAGTGTCTTTAAAACAATACGAATACAGGCTACAGCTTTTTTTCTTTTTGAAAATGTATTTTTGGCCAACCATGCATCCATCCATCCATCTATCCACTATCCCATCCACCCATCCACCCATCCACCCATCCATCCATCTATCCACCCACACATCCACCCATTCACCCACCCATCCACCCATCCACCCATCCATCCATCTATCCACTATCCCATCCACCCATCCACCCATCAATCCACCCACCCATCAGTGCCCTCTGAGCCCAGTACTGCCCTGGACAACACGCTGTGCACTGAAAACCAGAGGGTGGACTCCTTACTGAGGCAGAGCAGCTTTAGAATCCCAATTCCACCTCTCCTCATGTGTGAGCTTGGAGGATTACAGACACAAGTCTCAGGATCTTTTTCCGTAAAATGGGCAGTTTCTATATACCCTGCAGTGAGTAAAGGTCTAAAGAAAGCACAGGACAGGAATGAGCATACAGTAGAGCACTGGGCATATTGTACATTGTTTCAGACGTGGTTTCTAGTGGCAAACAAAAAGAACCCAACCTTGGCTGATTTAAAAGGAGTTCCTGAATGGCTACATGGCGGCTCCAGAAAAATTGGGGAGGGACAGAGGGGTGGTCTCAGGAACAATCTGGAATAAAGCCAGAAGCATGGCGGAGCACAAGGCCAGTGAGGACCCGCTTCCACTGTTTCCGAAGAGTTCATTCCCTGTCCTCACACAGCTGTCACCTCTGCAGTGCCTCAGTGCCCAGGATCTGGACATGGCTGCCTTTGCCCACTCCTTACCCTCCCCCGGCCTGCCTCTTTGCAGGTCAAGTTAAAACCTGGGGCTGGTGCGGCCACTGGCAGAGCCCCGTCACTGGCAAGAAGAGACTGGGAAGCAAAGACAGTTGAAGCTGGCGTGTTCAACTTGGACAGCAGAACTGCACTGCCTTCCCAGCAAATGCCACAGGGCGGGAATTTCCCAGACATAGGGGGAAGTTCACACGTGGCTCTGAAAACGCCAGTCTGGCTTCTCAGTCCCTTGCTTCCCGTCTTTGTGGGGGAGGAGGAAGAACATTTCCCACACACCAGCACCTCTGGCTGCCCTACACTCATTTCGAAGATAGGCCAGCAGAGAGCGTGATTCTCACACCTCCCTGTGGCGGGAGAGCCTGGAGAAGTGGTCCCCTGGGTCACATTCAAGAGTGGAGCGACCCTGCCTTAGACGCTTGAGTCTGTAAAGGGTCCCTCGTCATACGGCAGCTCTGGTGAGAGGTACACACACCCCAGATCTGGGAATCGGTCCCACAGATCATGGGACTCGTCATTACCAATTCTAGAACAACAGGTTCCGGGCAGTACCTATAATTACGATACAGTGTGGGCTCTATTATTACAGTAAGCAAAGGGTGCCAAGGGAGCATGAGGCGAGGAAGCCCTGTGGTGGGAGAGGGGGCGGCGAGAGGTGGAGGGTGCAGGTGGGTAGAGAACGCTTTCAAAAGAGATGGTTCTTATTTGCCTCAGTTAAAACTGAGTCAGCCAAGTGAAGAGGACAGGAAGCCAGGCAGAGGGGGCACACAAGACCGGGGGTCTATAGTTATGCCTAGACCTGGATAGAAAAGATGTGCATTATCTATTAATATAAAAGAGGGAAAATACCAACATATGACAAATTATGAGAGTGCCTGTCACCATGGAGAAAAAGATGGGGGGAAACTAACCTTAAGAAAAAATAATGGTGAAAATACACAAGCCGGCTCACCCACACCCACAGGCTGGGGACCCTCAAGTTCAAGAAACAGCACCTTTGGCTTTCTCTCTGCACTAGTCAATTTCAGGGCTGCCTTCTGTCCAGAATAACGGAAGTTATTTCCACCCCCTCCATCCACCCATTTATTTCAAACCACTGAACTGAGGTCTGATACTCCGAGACCCTTTTCTGAGTTCACAACACACACCATCAAAATTGAGTTTACTGCCCACATTTCTCAGTGGCCTGGGCTCGCGGCAAAGGAGCCCTTTGTAAGGGGAAAAGAGCCTAGAGACCCCATTGCGCACAGGGCCTCTCCCAGCCCTTCCCTGAGGCAGCTCCCACGGGTCCTGGGCAGATGAACTCATCCGGGGGTGGTGGGCCTGTGCGGCCCACGGCAAGGCTGTGGGTGCTAAAATAAGACCAGAGATGGAGAAGGCGGAGGAGGGCCGTCCTTGGCCTGTATCTGAGAACAAAGTCAAACCGGCTGCTCCGCCCGTTCCCAGCCCCCGGAGTGCACCCGCTGTGGAGTAGGGAGCATCTCTGAAATCATTTCTAAATCTGTCCCTCTCTTCATGGCCACCCACCCGGTTCATCGCCTCCCATCAGCAGGGTGTACAGGAGGCACCACGCCACGCCTGGGGACATCCGTGGGCCCAGGGGACGGGGAGCCTGCGGACCAGGCTCTCATCCGGAAGACTGTCTGTGAGCCACTGCCCCTACAAGACATTGGCTGCAGCCTTTCGTCTCTCTGGGTTTGCTTCCTAGTCCAAAGCAGGAGCTGTCTGAAAGGGTCCAAGCATTTAGACTCCAGTTGATTTCGTCCATACACAGCTGAGATGTCTGCAACGAGATCCCGGCACTGGGCTTTGTACGGAAGCCTTTACGGCTTCCAGCCTCATCTGCCCAATTCTATCCCTTTCCTGTCTCCTCCCCCGCCCACTTCCTCGCCGGTACATGTAAGACACTTCTCGTATTAGTTAGGCCCTGCTGTGCACTCTAACACAGAACCTCCCAGTTTTGATCATTGAAACTCCATAGACTCTAGTCACTCAGCTGTCCACTGCTAATATTCCTGGTGGGTGGCTGATTCGGGCACAGCGGCCCCCGCATGTTACAGCTGTGCCAACCCCTGGCATTCAGCTCTTGGAGGGGGAAGAGCAGAAAGGCCCACCCGTTTCTTGACCACCTTGGCGGAGAAATGACAAGGATCACTTCTGCTCAGATGCCACTGATGAGCCCTGATGGCATGGCTCCACCCAGCTACCAGAGTGGCACAGAGTCCCTGACTCGGCGGTCTTTGCTAGGGCAGGGCGGCATGGATTTGGTGGACAGTAGCTTCTCTGCCAGGCCTCTCTCCCCGCTTTCCTCCACCCCAGCCCCTGCCACGTGGTTTGTACATTCTCAATCTACCCGCTTTGGGCTGTTTTATTTCCTGCCAGCGTGCGCACTCGCCACGTTCGCCCTGCAGACTAGAGTCCCATGGACAAGCGAAATGAAACTGAATGAGCCCAGAAAACTGGTTGCCTCTCGAGGCCTGTCTGTGTGGCAACCTATTAAACCCTCGCTGGTCCCCAAAACTTCCCCCAGCTATTATGTGTCCTCTACTTACTGAGGACCGTGGCGTGATTTATCGGTTTCTTCTGACAGTAGCCCTGCAGAGTAGCTTTAATCATTGTACTATTGTCAAGAAAGTGGAAGCTCCGAGGGATTAGATGCGTTTCCCTGGAACACACAACTAGGAAGACGAATCTACACAGTGTTCCTAATGATTCTAGTGGCTTCTGCTAAAGCCTCTTTGAAGACTCTATTTGCAGAGCGACTGTTAGGTAACATCACTTATTTTTAGCCAAATAAACAACTTATATAACCAAATTAGAGTTGGAAATTAATACGGTCCTGTCAGTATATTCCAAGATGAATATCTTGGAAGGTTACAAATTTATACTTAGAAACAAAAGGCCCTGCCTTGACCCCAGCACGTGGGGGCAGCAGAATGAGCAAGGCAGCGAGAGCCAGGGCCCGGCTTCTGATGGTCTTTCCTTCAACTCACTCCTAGTGCACACGTGTGCCTCAAGCCAGTGCTTCTCGCGCGCACGAGAATCACCTGAGGCCCTGGTTATGTCCGAGTGTGACCCAGCGGGTCTGGGTGGGGCCCGAGTCTGCCTGTCTAACCAGAGCCTAGGAGAGGCCGGTGGTGGCCGGGACCACACTCGGAGGAAGGAGGTCCTGACGCTGACCATGTCTGTTGATTCAACTCAGAAGACAGGTCATGAGTCTTAACATATGATGGAATCTTGAAGGACAAGCAGGATTTTAATAAGCAGCAATGGGGAAAAAGCTGTGGTGGGAGCAGGTGCACTGCAAGATCCAGGTGCCCCCTCGTCCTTCCTGAACCCCTGCGTGCACTGTCTCAGCCGGGATGTCTGCTAACTACGGCAGGGAGAGCGAACATCCCAGACCACAGCTGACTTCTCTGCTGATGTTGGTGTGTGTCCCGGATTATTTAAAATCTTAATGCGCTTTCTCTCCACCCCAACCCACCCCTTCCCTGTTGTCTAGTATTCTTTTTGCAGATGTTAAAGGATTTACCAACCTCTCCACGACCTTGTCTGCTCAGGAGCTGGTCAGGATGCTCAATGAACTCTTTGCCCGATTCGATCGACTGGCCCACGTGAGTTGAATTTAATTCACTGCTTGTCTTTGATGGGAGTGAGGACTGCATGTGAATGAGGGGAGGACTCAGCCTTCACTGCCAATGTCATTACTGCTCTGCATCCTGCCCCTGGGCGTGGCCCCCTGATCCTCACACATTCTGGGGATCAGTGTTAGTTACTGACAGGTCTCGGATGGGAGGTTTGACAGATGAATCTTCCCAGTGGAGAGACAGCTGGTTGAGTGACAATTAAACCAAGTCCTTTTGATCCGCTTGCACTCCAGCATCATGTCCCCCAGAGTGGCCAGGTGCCACCCAGCTGCCCTGGTTCGTGCAGAGGTGGCTGCCTGCTGTTCCCCAGCCGACCCAGCCATGGGGACTGAATTCACCGGTTCTCAAGAAACAGTGGTCCACTGGGCCCCTCTGTGTTTGACCTTACTTAAGAGCTTTGCTGTGTTAGCCAACAAGACACCACCTTTATTTTCAGTTAGCTGATCAGAGCCCAAATAGAAAACAGGTTAAAGGAGATGACCATTTGCCATCGAAACACAGATTCCTGGTCCTAAAGCCACTTGAGTGACGGAGGGTGAGTTACTTCGTCCTTCTTGGTAAAGGGTGTGCATCACGGCCAGCTTCACAGGCTGGTGGAAGTTCCATGAAACCACATTGAGGGGAGTGCATTCTCCAGGCACCAAAAATGTCCTGTTTTGGCTGCCTCGCCCCAACAGAGAGCCATTCATACTGGAATCTGAGCACCTCTAGGGGTGGTGCGTGGGGCTCTGTGCTGGGAGTATGGGAATGACTAAAGCACATGCCTTCCCTTCCCAGAGCTAAGTCCAGCTGGGGCTACAGAAAGAGGAAAGCAATGCACCATGTGATGTGTGCAAAGGTACATCCGGGTGACCCGGGACTGCAAAGGCGACACAGAACCCTTGGTCAGAGATTTCCAGGAGAAAGTGGCACTTAGGCCGAGTCTTAAAAATTAGAGAACAACATAGATCACGATTCAGCAATGAAACGGAGCAAGCCTCTGACACCTGCCAGACATCACTGAGTCGCCAACGCAATATGCCAAGCGAAAGAAGCCAACCCAAGATACAGATGACGTACCCCTGAAATCTATATCATTTTATGAACGATATCACCGCAAGAAATTCAATAAAAAATAAAATAAAGTAAAAAAAAAAGAAGCCAGATGCAAAAGGCTAAACATTTTATGATTCCTCACATAAGCCATTCTAGAAAAGTCAAAATTACAGGGACAGAGACGAGCTGAGTGGTTGCCAAGTGGAGGGTGTGGACTGACTGCAGGGCAGCATGGGGTGCGGTGATTTGGGGGTGATGTGGGTGCTCTATATATGAGCAAGGCTCTTCACACTTAGGGGAAGGGTGACTGTTACTGTCTTTAAGTTATATATCAATTAGCGAGGTGAAGAAGATAGGGAGTGTCAGCCGGGAGAATAAAAATAAAGATGCCAGCTACTCAGAAACCAGAAGAGATTCAGCATCGCCGGAGGGAAAGGGGTGAGGTGAGCTACACAGACAGGCGGGGACCCGCCAACAACCCACAGAGGAGCCTGCAGCTCCCGGACAATGTTAACTAGGGCACTAACTGGGCAGCGGAGGAGGTGGGGACTGAGGTCTCTCCTAATACAAGAGCTGGGTTTCCTGAAGGGCTGGGAACTGGGAGGTGGAGCAGAATATATACCACCTTTTGATTGTTGCATCAGTGGGGGCTGGTGTGTTACGCATAAATCATTCTACTTCATATTATGGTTGTGAATATTTCTGCTCAGAGACACTAAGATGGATAGACATGACCCTCCCGCAAGGACCGACAAATGTGACCAAAGTTAACTTTTAGTGTCACAATAGACGCCACTGACTCAGGGGAAGGGTTGAGTAACAGTTAATGGAAGTTGTTCAACCAACATTTATTGACAACATACCACGTGCCAGGGAACGTGCAGGACTCTGGGAAGGCAACGCCAGTCCCTGCCCTCAGGGAGCTCTGAGTCTCGTAAGGGAGATGGACCAGCCCGTAATGACTGCAGGACAGTGCCGTGCAAGCAATTAGAGGCCCAGGGTGGGGAACGAAGGGAAGCCCAGCCAGATGCTGGGCGGGTCTGGGGTGATGGTGTTGGCGATCCAGCAGCACAGAGAGAAGAGGGCCTCTGCACACTGGGGCTGGGGAAAGAGGAAGAGCTTTGCTGGCATCAGATGAGAGGAGGAGGTGCCTTCTAGGCTGAGCCATGGGGCAAAGGCAGGGGAGTGTGAAAATGCAACACTGCGCTACTGGCGTGGGAGCTAGAAGGAGCTCAAGATTGTTAGAGCGTGAAGGGCAAGGGCAATGAGACGAGCTTGAGGGCATGGTTGACATCTGAGGGAATGTGGAGTTTGTCTCGGTGCCTGGGCTTTTCGCCCGGGCTCCTGTCCACACGGTGGGGGAAGAGGAGCGAAGGACGGTACATGGCCAGTGATCCCCCCTGGGCACAAGATTCTGTAGTCCACCTTCTGGGGTATTACTCTTATTGGAAGGTTTTAAAGGGAAAATACCTATCAAATTAAGCACAGATAGGTGATGGAGTAAAGTTATTATTAATTTGATAAGATTATTAAATATGCATAAAATGCCCTTTTTAATGCATTGTGATGAGTGTTTTCCCTGGCTTACCTAACTTAGTTCTCACAACAAACCTACAAGGCAGTGTCTTTATTATTCTCATTTTACAGAACAAGGCACTGAGGCTCAAAGAAGTCAAATAATCTGCCCAGAAGCACCAGTAGGTGGTGCATCTGGGATCCAGACCAAGGCCAGGTGCCTCCATGGTCATACACATATTCTTCATGACTAATTTGGATGGGGAGGGGCAGATAGGAACTACCTTACTTTACTAAAGGATCAGGCATTTTAGGGGGTGGAATGGGAGACCTCAGAGATGGGTTGCTGCCTCTGCAGGATGGCTTGAAGGGTTCGAGTGAGGCCGGCCTGGAATATTCCTTGTGCAAATCCCCTCTCTGCATCTCAGTTTCTTATCAAAGGTGTGATGAAGGACAAATGACACAACACTGTGAGATGCTTCACACACAGGCTGCTCCAAATAAGGACTCCGTGCCCATCAGTGCTCGGCAACGCCTAGTCCCCCCGCCCCGGGTGCATCAGTACCTACTGCCCTAGGAGACCTCGGTAGGAAAATTGAATAGCCTCTGCCAGAGAAAACAAGTCCACTCAGGAAGGAGAAACCCCACCGTAAGTGCATTTACCCCCCCGACTTGCCCCTTGAGCATCCTTTAGCACCAAAATCCTGTGCCTTTGTAATGACCTTTCTCTCCTGGCCACGAGTCTTTGCTTTAGATTTCCCTTATGTTGCACATCAGAGAGAACCCACCTCCCATGCAAATGGCACTCACTGCACCTGTTTACTCACTGCGTTATTAAAATGCAGGGGAAACCTCACAGCCTCCTGTTAGAGAGCCTCTTAGCGTGATCGAGTTCCTCGGGTTCCCCATGGTTAGGGCTGCTCAGAACAGAGCACTGTGACCCTTGACCCTTTGGCAAACTCCCATTTTAGGGGGTTTGGTCTCTGTCACTTTTGGTCTTCAATCTTTTTGTAAAATAAAGTAGTTCCTACCTGCCCCTCCCCATCCAAATTAGGAATGAAGAATATGTATATCATTAGGAAGTCTTTAAAATTGTAAAGCAAAAAACATACTGATTTGTTAACATGATTGACCTCAATACAGCTTAAACCTTTCTTAAAATGACTGACAAAACTGGAAGCACCGAAACTGCTATTATAAAGAACAAATCGAACCCAATGGAAAGCTAATCCACAGATTAAAATCAAGGAGAGAGCTGCTTCTGTACTAACATCGAAAGAATTTCAAGATATTTGCTGCATGAAAAAAAGCATGTCTCAGCTCTATAGACATGGGCTGATAAATCTATGGCTAAGAGCATGAAAACTAGTCATACATGATCATGGAAATGTATCTGTGAAAACACAGCAGCCTCGGAGGAGGGGAAGGAGACCAGGTCCCCAGTGGTGGTGGGCCTGAGGGCCAGGGGCTGCGTGAGGGACTTACCACAGTCTCATTGCTACTTGGACAATATAGTCTTCTGTTATTTCTGTAATCACCACGAGATAACGTCATGTTCTCTAACGCAACTATTTTAAGTGCATTAACTGCACCAATGTTTTTGTTCCAAGAATCTTCTCTCTTTTTATTTTTTATTGATTTTTTTCCTCTGATTACAAAAGCAATGCTGTTCCTTATATAAAATTTAAACGCCAAAGATATAGACAACACAGGAAGTGCACATCCCTGTCATCCTAGCCCTGCCCAACCACACAACCGTCTTTGATAATTGGGTGTACAGATCTCCTAGGTTTTATCTACACAAATGGTTTCATACATCCTCTGGATTTCCCAAGATTTTTATCATATCAAAGCCATCGAGATGGGAGGAAAAGGGTTATATTAAGACTAACTCAAGAAAATCTGCAAGAAGACCCTCCCCCTACTTTATTTTTCCTCTTCAATATCTCTTTTCAAAGCAACCTGGCTTCCTTAATCTGAACTTTACAAAGCAATTTCGGATAAGAGGAAGTTGTTTGCCTATTACTGTCAAGTCACCTGACAGCTCATAGGAATTGATCAGAAAAATATGTCTACAAATTGACAGATAAGAAGACAGGCTTCCACGTATTATATGCATGAAAGAGTGCGGATGTGGAAGGCTGACTTGAGCATTTTGGTCTCTCCGGGGGGTGCCAGAACCAATGCCCTGCAGTTACCAAGGGATGGCTATAGGTAGTTAGGTTTTGGGGAGTCAAACGTTTATGTGGATTTTTGACTGCGTGGGTGGTCAGTGCCCCTGTTTCACATTGTTCAGGAATCAGATAGATACACACACACACACACACACACACACACACACACACACACATACAGCAATATAGTGAGCTTTTATAATGTTAATTTAATTTAGTGCAAATAACTTTCCTTTATTCTAGGAATATCTTATTTTTAAAATAAAGCACTGGTGTAGTCGACGGTGGTTGGGTTGTTATTTTGGTTTGTTATAGGTTTTTCATACTTCCTTGGCAAATACAAAATTGAGCCCTCTAGCCATCCCTCTGGCCCTCTGGTTTTTTAGTAACTGTCCCATTGACTCGATTAATCTGGAAACTGTCAGGTCTAGTGGGCGAAGGGCTCCATCTTGTCCCGGAAGCTTTAGGGGTCTCAGAGGAAGGGCCTAGGCGCCCCTGACTGACCAGGCCTCTTCAGTGGCTCTTTTGCAAAATTAGCAGCATTGAAGCAGCCAATAGCCAGGAACCACAGGCTCCTAAGAATAGCCCTGGGAAGGCTGTGCATTCCCTCAGAGTTCCGAGGGGGGCATCTGTGCCCATTTGGGAGGGTTGGCCCTGGAGATCGGATCCAGACTAGAAGCACCAGAGCCGGGGTCGAGTCGCTTTTCCTTGTCTGATGGTTGCTTTTCACTGGGGGCGGGGCTCAGTACACCCTACACACCCTTTCACCCAGGCTTTTAAGTGCATTCATTTGTAACCGAAACATAACGGCCTGACTCCTGATGAGATTAGGAGGCCAGCACAGTGCCTTACAGCCTGGCTATACAAGGGCCTCCATGGTGCTGCTGGCACCTCAGCTCCCCATTTTCTGCAACTCCCCTCCCCCTGCCCTTGGGCCCCACCCCATATGGAGAGCCTCTTACCCACAACGCATAGACCAGTGCTCCTGGGGCTTCACGTCTAGAAGGCATCTCAGGGTCATTCAGTCTCACCCATCTACCCAAGGAAACCAGAAGGGAGAGTCGCCTGCCCTGGATCACAGATCAGAGAGGTGAAGGACTGGCACAGGGGTCCAAGTCCTCATCACAGAGGCAGGCCACATTAATTCGGTGCCCCCTCCCCTGGGCCCTGCACTCAATCTTTCCATGTTAATCCTCACAGGCATGATGAGACGGGTCCTTTTCTTGTTCCCACTTTACAGAGTAAGCAACTGAGGCTCAGAGGTTAAGCAATTTAAGTAAAGACACAGGAAAGATGTAGGGTGTCTGGGATCTGACCCCGAGCAGTGTGACTCCTCGGCCAATGCTCTCAGCCCCTATGCTGCAACATTCAGACAGTTCCTGCCCAGTACGAAGTTTGCACCTTTTCTTTGGGGTTTGTTATGTTTTGAAACTTTGTAAAAATCATGTGTTCAAGAATGTGAAGCCACCAAACAACTGTGTCCTGCTTCTAAGACACAGCCCGTTCTTAAGGTGCCAGTAACCTACATGGGAAGAGACTTAACATAGAGTTGAAGTAGTAGAAATCTCTCCTAGTAAACGATTGATGATTTTAAGTGCTTGTTGTTGAGCTAAAGACTGCGAAAGCCCATTAATTCAGAGACTCGGTCAGAGAAGAAAGACAGTGCTGGGGGTAGGATTCCTAGGGGAACACGCAGGTTGAATGCCCGCTCTTTGCCAGGCCTGTCCCCGTGATGGGTGTTCAGATCAGAAAGCTAGTGCCCGGCAGCGCTGAGATACGGTGCTGAACCTGTCAAGGTCAATATCCAGGGTCTTTCCATGTCTCCACTCTACCTCTGAGCCCCTCAAACCCCTACTTAGGGTAATGCTTCATTCCCTAGGAAGATAATGCAGGTACAATGTGAAGGTGGGTCCCTGACCCCCGGTGCAGACCACCTGACCTTGCTTCCCTCCTCCAAGCTGCTCTGGAGCCCGGGCCCATCTGCGGACTCAGTCCTTGCCTCTCCATCTGTTCCTTCCAGGAGCATCACTGTCTTCGCATCAAGATCCTGGGGGACTGCTACTACTGCGTCTCCGGACTTCCGGAGCCCCGCCAGGACCACGCCCACTGCTGCGTGGAAATGGGCCTCAGCATGATCAAAACCATCAGGTAACTCGGGGTCTCCCTCATAATGCCAGGCTTTCGATGCGCATGACGGGAGAGACAAACACTCCATCTATCCTCTGCGGTCGATCGCATGCATGTTGAAAGGTGACGCCCTGATTTGTTTCATGAGCACTGCGTACCCATTGCTTCTCCCAGATGAACCTAGCAGTTTCAGGATGTTCGATTTATACCTCACTTCCAATTGTTTGTGCAACAACTTTGAATTACCAATGTCCTCGTGGGGTTACAGCAAGGAACAAGATGAGCGGAACGCTCGCCTTCAGGGAGGCTACGGAGCTGCGGGAGGGACGAGCACATACGCAATTTCAAGATGGAACAATAAGCTCTGTGATGAAACAAACCCAGGATGCTTGTGGGGAATAAAGAAGGAACAGCTCATTCAATCAGAACGTCTGAGCTGTTTCCTGAAAAGTGAGTAGACATTAGCCAGATCCTGAGGGGGCAGGAGAGCCTGGAAGACAGCACTGGCAGGTGCCGCAATCAGGAGCTGGGACCTGGGGAGGAACGGGTGTTGGCAGTGCACTGCAGCTGGGAGCAGCGAGGGGCTGCAAGGCCTCCTGGGCCATTAAGGGGCTGGTCCTTATCCTATGGCCAAAAGGAAATCATTAAAGAGCCACCCCAGGGTGGGCCTCATGGGTATGCAACAGCAGAACTCCCCAGAGTTTGTTTTGAACTTTCTTCATTTTAGTTTTCATTGTGTATTCAGGTATAACTGACAAATAAAATTGCACATATTCGAAGGGCACAATGTGATGATTTGATATACGCATAACATTGTGAAATGACTATCGCAATCAAGCTAATTAATATCCATTACTTCCCATGGTTATCTTTTCCTCTTCCTTTTTTTAAGAGAACGCTAAGATCTACTCATCTACTCTCTTAGTAAATTACCAGTATACACTGCACTATGATTAAGTATAATCACCCTGCCGTACATTTAATCCCCAGAACTTATTTTTATCTTATAACTAAAATGTTGTACCTTTGACCAACATCTCCTCCCTTCCCCACCTTCGTGCCCAGCAACCACCTTCCCACTCTGTTTCTTTGAGTGCGACTTTTCTTTTAGATTCACATATCCAGTATTTGTTGTTGTTTTTTCTATCTGGCTTATTTCACTTAGTACAATGCCTTCCAGGTTCATCCATGTTGACACGGTAACAGGATTCCCTTCTTTTTTAAGGCTGAGTAATATTTCATCATGTATTTATTTTATGACCTTCATTATCTACTCATCCACATCTTCTTTATCTCTTCATGCACAAACTTTCCATAGAACTTTGTATGTTGAGCTTAAGCAATAGGTATGCTGCAGAGATGGCATTGCGGGAGAAATGAACAATGATGATCAGAATTCTTTAAGAGAACTAGAGCATTGCCATTTATCTCTCTGGAGAGGATCTTGTCCCTCCTGGCCATTTTCTCTGATGCACGGTCTCCTTTCTGAAGTTCTGGAGTGGCAGAGTGAGAAATGAGATGTGGATAGGCTGAAATGACTCAGGGCTTCTCTCATTGATACATAATAAAAAGTGCTGCTTTTACTCCTTTAGAAGAAGACAATTCCGTGGGATACTTTTCAAGCTGCATGAGTCAGAGTCTATTAATGCTCAAACATCTCCTGGATTATACTGTAGGGGACTTGAGGTCCAGCATTAATTCTCCCAGTTAACAACACGGCGCAGTGCAGGGGGAAGAGCAAGAGCACTGGGTTTGGGTGAGCCTTGGTTGCCACTGGCTCAGCCTTCTAGAGTTTCCACTCTGCTGTCAGGCCTGTCCTCTCGGGAATGCCTGGCAGACAATATTTGCACACGAATGCGTGTGGAAGAGAATCCCAATGATGCCGCTCTATCAAATAATTAACCGTCTTAACCAACTATTACTTACAAGGGATGCAATTTTTTATTCAGCCCAAAACAGAGTCTGGAACCATGTGGAGCAGTATACTGCAAGGGTTGTAATGCAATGTCAATGTCAATTACCCATTTGTTGACTGGTTTCCCCAGACCAGATGGCCACCTATGTAACGGTCATCACAGATGGATCCCTGTGGAGGTATGTCCCCACCCTGTCAGGGTCTGTCCTTGTCCCTCTTTCTGGCCTTTCCTCAGAATTAGCATCCCAACAGCAGTCCCACAATGCAGCACGGCTGTAAGAGGCTGGTGCTTTGAACATGAGGCGGCATCGACATCTCGGCTTTCTGGATCCCAGGGGCTCCGATAGTTTTTTGCTTAAAGTGACATGATAATTCTTGCCCAAAAGCAAACCAACTCACAGGGACCCAGGTCCCTTATTCACAGATCAGTCCAAATATGTGAGAGAGATTCTGTCAATCACAGACAAGTGGGCACAGGGTGCCAACATCAGGACAGCTGGACTTAGCTGCCGTTGGTGCTAATTCAAGCATCACAAGTTTCAGAAGTGAGTGAGAGTCAAGACAAGCAGAAGCACAAACGCGAGGGAGACCACTTCCCTGTCTGTCTTTACTGGGGTGTTGCTACTGTAGTCCTTTGGATGGAGAACCAGTAATTGCTTCTGGTGCCTGAAATCTGACATTTAGACCCAAAGGATCATTTCCAGCGGTTCTCAACCTGTGGGTCGCGACCCTTTGGCGGTCGAACGACCCTTTCACAGGGGTCGCCTAAACCGTGGTCGGCAAACTGTGGCTCGCGAGCCACACTGTTGATATTTGGCTCTGTTGACTAGTGAGTTTGCCGACCGCTGGCCTAAGACCATCCTGCATATCAGATATTTACATTACAATTCATAACAGTAGCAACATTACAGTTATGAAGCAGCAACGAAAATAATGTTATGGTTGGGTCATAACATGAGGAACTGTATTTAAAGGGCCAGAAGGTTGAGAACCACTGATTTCGACCCACAGGATCAGCTTGGGAGACCTCACATACATCCCTAACAAATTAGCAGAACCAATGCTGAAAGTGGAGGAAAGTCCGCAAACGTCAGAATAGCAAGATAATGAGCCTTAGTCAAGCCTCAGATTGAACTTATTCCATTAAAAAAACATTTGATTTTAGAAACATATTAGCTAGATGAATGACAAAAAAAAGCAATGGCATGTAACTTTATTTCTAATGAAGCATTTAGTGCCATCTTATGCATGCCTGTTCATAAAATTAATTAAAATCGGCTTACATAATGGCTCCAGGTGGCTCCTCTTCCCATGCCCTGGTCTATTCTGGCGAGGCTTGAAGGCTGAGAAGACACCACATTATGGTGGGCTCCATTATAAGCAATATCTTTATGAATGATCTACAGAAGTCTTCCTTAGTGAACTTAATGAAAATCCCAGAGCCTGGTCTTTTCAATGCAGCCACTAAAAAGTCATAGGATGACACCAGAATGCCAAGCAGGAACTGGCTTGTCCCTGGCTGGTAACTTGGAGCAAAGGTCTTAATCCTTGTGCAGGGTGGCCCCCAAGCAACATGGCAGGACAAGGGATGAAAAACAGGAGTTACTTTGCTTTCCTCACTGGCAAGGATACCCACGCTCTCTGTGTGCCTCCTGGAGTCCTTCCTTTTTCTTGCCCTCTTTCTTATTATCCTTCCTTTTCACTTTTTCTTCTCTCCATCAGCTCTCTTCCATCCCTTTCCTCCTCCTCCTCCTTCTCCTCCTCTTCCTCCTCCTCCTCTTCCTCCTCCTCCTCCTCTTCCTCCTCCTCCTTCTCTTCATCCTTCTCCTCCTCCTCCTCTTCTCTCCCTCTCCTCCTAAAGCCCCCTTTCTCACCATTTCTGAAATGCTATTAACTGCAGCATCCATAAGACCACATTCCTCTTAAAAATTCAGCAATTACAGCAATCTTGAGTCAATGGATAATTTATTGTTTTGCAAAAGTATTTACAATGGTGAAGATTGAATATATCTAGTAATCTTGATTAAATGTTCACCTTGTACCAGGCAGACACTGTACTAAATGGTCTTCCTAACTCACCTCACCTATTTCACAACAACCCTGTGAGGAAACTGCTCGTACGTCCCCCAATTTTCAGAGGAGGAACTGATGCTCTGATAGGATAAATAACTTCTGATGCACAGCTTGTAAGTAACTCCATAAATGCCCAAAGGCAGGGAAATGGTGAGATTAATTTTGGCATACTACAAAATAGGTAAATGGGTAAGCGTCATGATTTACATTAATATTTACCATAACAGCATAAGAAAATGCTTGTGCGTTTAACGAAGTATGCATTGCAGAGTACACACGTACACACGTACACACACACACACACACACACACATCATTTAGGGCAACCTCAGTTTTTTAAAATATCTATTTTTACAGAAAGAGAGAAGGCCCTAAAACCCTGTGGTGGGAAATTGGTGGCTGGATCTTTCCTCTCGCTTTCCCTCACTAGGTCCACGCTGTTTTGGGGACAAGTATCGATATTAGTCTTCCCATGTTGTGTCCACCCCCAAAACAGGGGACTACAGCTGAAGGGATACAGGCAGCAAAGTGTCCGAAGGGCACTCGGCCTTGGATCCTTCCTTACTGACCTTGAGCGGGTGATTTAACCTCTCTCTGTCCAGCTTCCTTAGTTCACCTCCGTCACTAACTCCCTCCAGAAAGGTCAAGGGCACTGTTCCTCCCAGGTAGCTGAGGACCAAACACTCAGTTCTTTCTACATCATCAACTAGTTCAACTTTTGAAGCAACTTACGTCTAGGAGCTGCCCAGTTGGTATATCAAATGGGTTGGTAGAAGCTACTGCGATGTAACTAGAACACATGCAAGCACAGTTTTAGCAGGAAGGGTAAAGTGATCAAATGCATAATTTTTGATCTGCTTCAACCTGTGTAATTGTTGTGTAATTATACGCTGGTATTGCTAACAAAAGTCAGTAGTAGCCACTATGCTTATGTTCAAATAGTACCAGGTGAAGTGCTTTATCCACATGATTTTATAAACCATGCTAACACTCTGCAGAGGACTGGTGCTCGCTCCCATCACCCCTGAGAAAA